TGGGGATTTTTTTTTTAGGGAGTACCTTAATCACTTGTTCAATTTCTTTTCATAATATGGGGTTATTTAAGTATTCTATTTCCTCATCTATTAATCTGGACAATCTATATTTTTAAATATTAATCCATTTCACTTAGATTGTCAAATTTATTGGTATACAATTGGGAAAATAGTTCCTAACTATCGCTTTAATTTCTTTCTCATTGTGGTGAATTCACTCTTCATTTTTGATACTGATAATTTGGTTTTCTTCTTTTAAATCAAATTAACCAATGGTTTATTTGTTTTATTATTTTTTTCATAAAACCAGCTCAGTTTTATTTATTAGTTCAATGATTTTCTTACTTTCAATTGTATTAATCTCTCTTTTGATTTTTCTGGATTTCCAATTTAGGTTTTAATTAGGGATTTTTTAATTTGTTCTTTTCCTAGTTTTTTTTAGCTGTATGTCCAATTTACTGATCTGCTTTTCTCTGCTTTATCAATGTAAGCATTTAGACATATAAATTTTCCCTTAAGTACTGCTTTGGCTGCATCCCATAAATTTTGCTATGTTGTGTGTCATTATTGTCACTCTTTTTAATTAAATTATTGGTTCTATGATTTGTTCTTTAAACCACTCATTCTTTAAGATTAGATTATTTAGTTTCTAATTAATTTTAATCTATCTTTCCATGTTCCTTTATTAAAAACAATTTTTCTTGCATCATGATCTGAAAAAGATGCATTCAATATCTCTATCTTTCTGCATTTATAATGAGATTTTTATGCCCTAATGACATGGTAATTTTTTGTGTAGGTGCCATGTACCTCTGAGAAAAACATATATTCCTTTCCACCTCCGGTTTTCTCCAGAGATCTTTAATATCTAACTTTTTAAAAGTTCTATTCATGTTAACTTTTTTCTTGTTTATTTTGTGGTTAAATTTCTCTAGTTCTCAGAGGGGAAAGTTGAGGTCCCCACTAGTGTAGTTTTACTATCAATTTCTTCTTGTAACTCCCTTAACTCATCAAACTGTTGACTCTTTTTTCATGATTCTCTTGCATAGTTCTCATTTCTTTTTTTCCATTTTTTCTTCTACCTCTCTTATTTGATTTTTAAAATCCTTTTTGAGCTCTTTGAGGAGTTCTTTTTTGGGCTTGAGTCCAAATCATATTTCTCTTTGAGGCTTTGCATGTAGGCATTTTGCCATTGTCCTCTTCTGATTTTGTGTTTAAATCTTCCCTGTGGCCATGATTAGGGCTTTTGTGGTTGTTGTTATTTTGCTCATTTTCCATCATATTTCATGACTTTTAAAGTTGAGCTGTGTTCCTGGGGCACTGGGTGCACTGTCCCAAGCTTCTCTCATGAGGGGGAGAGAGGAAAGAGGAGAGTCCTGTTCACTGGCTTGCTGCAGCAACTTGCCTGTTGCACTAGGGCTCCCAGGCTGGAAACTCATCAGTTAGTTACATCAGAGCTGGAAGCATCACAGTGGGTCCACCATGCCACTGGCCTGCTGAGCTGGGTTGCTAATTTGTTCTGGGGCTAGGAGTCTCCCACTGATTTGCCTGGAAAGCAACTGTGCTGGTCTGTGCTCCCCTTTTATCCAAGTGAGATAGATCTGTAATGGAGTCTTGGTTATCTGGGGCTGGAAAATTGCTTTATGCCAACCTTTTGTGGGTTCTCTTACTCCATAATCCATTTAGAAGCTTGATTTAAAGTTGTTTTGAGGGAAACTGGGTAGAACTCAGGTAACTTCCTGCCTTTTCTCCTTCATCTTGGCTCCACATGAGTTGAACGTGATGGAATGATATCTAAAAAAAATAAAAGGGGTGAGAAAGAGGGATGCACCTGGAGAAGGGGAAAGGGACAGGTAGAATGAGGTAAATCATCTCACATAAAAGAGGCACAAAAGAGCTTTTGAAGCGGAAAGGAAGATGGGGGGAAAGATGCTGGAACCTTACTCTTACGTGAGTTGGCTCAAAGAGAGAATAACATACACACTCACTTGGATCTAGAAATCTATCTTACCATACAGAAACAAAGGTGGGGAAGGGAATAAAAGAAGCAGGGCTGATAGAAGGGAGGGCAGATTGGGGGAGGTAAAAGTCAGAAGCAAAACACTTTTCAGGATGGATAGGGTGAAAGGGTAGAAAGAGTAGAATAAATGACAAATAGGGGGAAGTAGGATGGAAGGAAATACAGTTAGTAAGCCTAACTGTGGAAACATTTTGACAGCAAGTTCCTCTGATAAAAGCCTCATTTCTTAAATATATAGAGAACTGAATCAAATTTATAAAAATAAGAGCCATTCCCAATTGATAAATGGTCAAAGGATATGAACAGGCAATTTTCAGACAAAGTAATTAAAGCCATCTACAGACATATGAAAAAAATGTTCTAAATCACTATTGATTAGAGGAATGCAGATTTGAACAATTCTGAGGTACCACCTCACACCTATCAGATTGGCTAACATGAGACAGAAGGAAAATGACAAACGCTGGAGGTGATGTGGGAAAATTGATACTATTGGTGGAGCTGTGAATTGATTCAGCAATTCTGGATAGCAGGGTACTCTGTCTCATCAAATGTTGGATTATTTTTCCTTGTTTTGCACTATTTATGCACAGATGCTCAAATTCATTTACCAGATCTGGAGGCCATATTTCCTTCAATTGTTACTATTTTCCTTGTTGATTTATCTGTTTATATGCAAGGGCTTTGAAAGTTTTTAATCCTGTAATCTTTGGTACTTTCAGTCTTTTCTAACCTATCCCTCCCTCATTTTATTTTCTTTATTGCTCACTTCTGACTCCCTCCCCTCTGATTGTGGTTTCCTTGGCAGTTGGATCTCAAAGCATCTCAGCCTCCTCCCACAATGTGAAATTCACAGTTCACCAGCCTAGGTGTCTGCCCCAACTGACTTTTGGGAGGTCAAAATTGGCCTCAGCTGAATGCTGTACTCTTCCCACAGGTTTGGTGGAATAATGCACAATTCTCCACACATACAGTGTCCTATCCTGGTGACTTATCCCCCTCTCTCTGTTCTTTAATTTTCTGGTCCAGCACCAATACTTCAGTCTCCTTTCCATGGCACCAGAATAGGCTGCTTTCCCCAGCCCTGGTAGAGGTTGCTTTCTGTGGCACTGGCAGAGACTACTTTCCTTGATACTGGCAGACTAGTAGTTCAGAGTTACAGACAGTCCAGGGCTTTGCAGCACCTGGCAGGCTTTTGCTCCAGAAGGGCTGTGGCTAAAATCAGAAACCCTTGAATGGATGCTGATTTTGAGCTCATTCAACACCCCTTCCCATACTTGTATGCTATCAGCAATGAAGCTGCATTAGCAGGCCCAAGGACATGACACAGTCTTACATCAAAATCCATCCCTACACCCCAGTCCCACCTTCCTCATTTCACATTTATAATCCATCTGCTTCTGTACCTCTTCAATCATATAATCTAGAGCTACATTCTTAATGGCTGAGCAAAATGAACATAATGTATAATAATTTTTCATAAAAACACGAGATGTTATAGAGACCCCAAGATCCAAGATATGGAAGAAAAAAATTGAAGACTGCAAACTCCAATACACATCATGGTCAAATTTAACTATCCAATTCAGAAACAAGTTCTACAAGGGATCAGGAGAAAGTTTCTTCAAATACAAAGAATATTTGAATAATTCAAGACTCTTCTGTGCTCAGTAGAAAAAGGAGGAAATGCAATGTGTTCTGAAGAACACTGGAGCTCAGGATATAGTTCAGGGTGACTAGTTCCATAAAACTAAGCTTAACCATACAGGATAAAAATAAACAAGTAAGCAAATAAACAAATTGAAGAAGAAAGGATTAAATTTTTAAACTGAGAAGTTATTGTGTCCCCGTGGTTTGTGAAACCACACCAGAATACAATTAAGTTCATTTTCTAGCCTGAGGTAAATGGCTCCAGTTCCACCTGAATCACTTTTTCTGCTAGGTTAGCAAGTTATATAATAAGACCAGAAAGAGAAAGCAAAACTTTCCTCAGATCTTAAAGAAGTACTTGTAACCAACAGCTTTGTTCCTAGTTTTTGTGATCACCACCCTCCTGCCCACCCCCTCCCCCAGCTGCTGCTCATTACCCTCTCAGCCACTCTTTCCCTAAGTACCCATCATTATCACCCCCTCAGCTGCCATCTCCTTATTTCTCTCACAGTGGCTATTAAGTAGGCACTTAATAAATGCTTGTTGACTTGATTTGTCAGGCCTCTCCAGCTATCCTCAGACTGATTACAGGCAGACTGAGTCACTGAAGTTTTGAGATTCAAAAGTTCCTTCTGCTATAGGAATGCCATCTTCCTTCCCTGTGATTATGAAAACTCCAGTCCCCACAGTTTGCAGGATTCTAAAATCAGGATTTCACCACTTTTACCCTTCCTATAGACTAAGTCTGAATACTCAGATTGCACTTGTTACGTTGTTGATCCCATTCTCTCTGGGCCTGGCCTGTAACATTTTCCCCCAACTTTGATACCCTGAGGAGTTTGGGGAATCTCTCTTCTCTGCCGTAAGTGGCATCTGGTGGGGGTAAAAACTATAAGACTAGAAAGATTGAAAAGGTATATGGGGCAGAGGGAGGGAGGTCATCAATGGCTTTGAAGGCCAAACAGGATTTTATATTTGATCCTGGAGGTAATAGGGAGCCAGTCACTGGATTTTATTGAGGAAGTTGACATGCTCAAACCACCAACAATGCTACCTACGTTGAAGCCTTTTCATGATGACATTCAAAATCATATATCAGTTATTATATAACTCATTTCTCCAACACGGTCATTGGGTTCGGAGCCAGAGATCATCTGAGGCTTAGAGGCTTGTAACTTGTCCAAAGTCAGTAGCAAAGCCAACGTTTAGATCAAGTCCTTTTATTCAAAAGCCCACATTCTTTCCACCCATCAGACTAAATTGTTCCCCTACATAATCTAAGTTTGACTTTTGCCTCTAAATGTGGAAATATTTATGTCTCTTATTACAGGTTAACAGTGAATTTGAAGCATCTCCTGATGCATTTTCCTACAGAATTCCTAACCTGAATCGGAATCAACAATACAGTGTCTGGGTGGTGGCTGTGACTTCAGCAGGGAGAGGCAACAGCAGTGAAATCATCACTGTAGAGCCATTAGCTAAAGGTATACCTTTCTTTGGGTACTAAATCAGAAATACACTAAATATAAGTTATTTGATTGTCTTACAAGTTGAATGCACCATTCCAAAGAGTCAAAGTTTTACAAGGTAAATAGCACTAAACATGGGATCTGAACCCATGAATTTAGAGCTGGAAAGAGACCTTAGAGGCCATCAAATATAAACCTCTCATTTTACAAATGAGGACCCTGAGTCCAAGAGAGGTTAAGTGACAGGCACAGGATCACACATCTAGTAAATGTGAGTTAGGTTTCAAACTCAGGTCTTCCTGACCCCACAATCCAGCACTCTATCAACTGTGCTACCAAGCAGTTCTGTTTCTGACATTTACTGGTTGTATGACATTGGTCAAGTCACTTAACTTCATTTAGGGTCATAGGATGTTAGAACTATAAAAGTCCTTAGAAACCAGCAATCAATGAATGAATCAACAAGCATTTATTAAGTCTTTCCTTTGTGCCAGGCATTGTACTAAGTGCCAGAGACATAAAAACAAAAAGAAATGGTTCCTACTTTCAAGGAACTTAAATTCTAATGGAGCAGACAGTGTATGTACAAAGAAGAATATGATAATATATACAATAGTAATAAAAGTGTAACTATCAGATGTCATTGAGTGGGGCAACATTTGATTCAAAAGGATTTTCCTCACCTTTTTGGAAGGGGTGGACCAAAATTGTCCTAGACCATTCCTTTATCTAACCACAGGACTTGACTTTGAGTACTATCTCTCTATGGTCATTACATCCCAACTCCCATTCAAATATCATCTTTTCTACCATCCAAGAAGTAGAGATTACATAATAGCTCTGGGTTAAAGCAACCCAGCCTATTGTAGATAGGTAAGTTAGCTCACAGTATTAAGTCGGGTTAATTTTTGCCAATATCCAGGCAACTAATTTTCTTTGCAAAAGTAGAGCGCTTAAAATATACATTTTAATAAAATTGATAAAAGCTCTGAAACTGCATACTTTTGAGCCTGTTCCAATCAGAGAAGCTTACACTTTATCCTACAGGTAATAATGAACCACTGTTTACTAAGGAGTAGTAATGAGGTGATATAATGACAGAACACTGAACTTAGAATAGAGGAGACCTGAGTTCAACCGCCACAGATGCTGGCTGTGTGATCCTGGGCAAGCCATTTAACCTCTCTAAGCCTCAGTTTTTTTCATCTGTAAAAGTGGACTAACAATAGTACTCATCTCTCATGGTTGTTGTGAGGATTAACTGAGATAACATAGAGCACTTTGTAAACACTGAATTGCTATCTTAAATGTTAGTCATTATTATTATATATCTAAAAATTAAAATATCTGACCTGTTAAATTGTTTTTTTTTCAAATAGTCACTAGTTTTCCTCATCTACACACTCTATATGCAAAGATTTTGTAACTGATTATATTTTCTACTAGTCATCCACACTCTTCCTCATCCATCTGTAATCTCTCCCTCCTTACTGATTTCTTTTTATTTGGCTACACACATTCTTAGATGGCCATTCTCCTTAAAACAGTCTTTCATTGCCTCATATACTTCATCCAGTTGCTATTCCTCCGTTTCTCATTCTCTTCCCTCCTCTTTGCCTCATTCACTTTCTTCTTGTCTTGCCTTCCCAATTTGTATTATCATCTTAATTAAATAACTTACTTGTAAAAAAATGGTGTTTCAAAGGGCTTCAATTTTCATCTCCATTTGTTTTAATAGGGATTAAAAGTCAACCTGCCAACTTCCAGATGTGTCATATTCATAGCAGTCCTTTTATTGTTGAAACGCACTGGAAACTAAGAGAGATGCCCATCAATTGATAAATGGTTGAACAAATCATGGCATATCAATGTAATGGAATATTATTGTACTTTAAGAAATGATGTGTGAAATCTGTGAAGACATATGAATTGATACAAAGTAGAACGAACAGAACCAAGAAAACAATTTATATAATTAATGATAACATTGCAAAAATAAATTTAAAAACTTAAGAACCTTAATCAATGTAATGACTGATCATGAGGACTAATAATGAATTATGCTATCCACCTCCTGAAGGAAGGAGATGATTTCAAAATGCAGAATTAAACATACATTTTTGAACATGACCTACATGCAAAATTACTTTCCTCATTTGCTACAAGGATTTTTTTTCTTTTTGCAATGGGAAGGGGATGGGCAAAATTTGTTCATTGAGAGAATGCCAAAAAGAAAAAGGAAAGAAAGAAATGATCTCTGAAACATTTCAAAGAAAATACACAAAAGAGAAGAGACTGTAGTATAGAAAAAAGCACAAACAAGACAGCTTAGAGAGTAGAATGTTGAATTTATCAATTTATTTTTTAAGTAGGCTATACCTCAGAGATTTACAGCTTCATAAACAACTCTCTATCTTTTTTGAAAATTATCTTTTTTTGTATTTGTTAAGTTTAAAATAGTTTTATTGGTCATTTAAAAACAGTATTTAGATAGACAGCAGATATCTGGATGCCCTACTTAGCTCATTCTCCAAACGTTTTCCAACTGTCCCCAGGGCAACCAAAATAGTAATTAATATTTGCTGGGTTGCAAATTCCCATTAAAGGATAATAGAATGATTCCATATAGGACTGACCTAGGGAGCTTATTTATTCTGTGGGGAACCCAAAGCTGTCTAGAGGAACTCTAGGCATGCAAGTTAATTTAGTGGCTTCTTCAGGAAGTCTAAACTTCTCCCTAAGAAAGGAATTTCCAGGTCTTATGATCAACAAGATGCAAAATTATATGTTTTGTTCAGCCCCATCAATTCTAAAACAAAAAAAAAAAGGAATTAGAGAAGTAGATTAAGAAAGCAAGATGCTCAACAAGGCACACAAAGCAACCCAGGGGCTTGTACCTTGGGGGTAACTCAGGAATTTGCCTCCTGCTGAAGAGTCTCTGCTACCTCTGCCCTTTCCTACATCATCCTGTTAAAACCAGCATGCAATATTGAATCAGCCCAGCCATGTGAGGGTGGAGAAATATGCGAAGGGGAAAAATCAGGTTCCCTTCATCTTGAAGTGGCCCTTAGGTTAGAGAACCCTAAGGCATCAGAAACTCTTCCAAAAACACCTACACATGCCCATAAAAAGGGCAGATGCTGATTCAGCCCAACACAAGAAATAAGGAACCAAAAAGACTGGGGCAGAGGGCAAAAGTGCATGGCCACATTAGGCCTAAGGGAAAAGGGGACAGGAATCCAGCTGGAGCCAGTACTGTATGTACATAAGCTATTACGGGAGGGAACAAGGCTAGTAAAAAATAAATTTACCAACACGGAAGGAGGCTGAGATAGTTATAAGGTATAACCCTGGGAGTATCATCAAAGAGAGAGGAGTTAAGAAGGTACCAACAAGGAAATCCTATAAAAAAGACTAGTATCAAAGGAATTGAGACTGGAAAGGTTATATGATTTGAATATGGTTACATAGCTAATAAAGAGTCTTGAGCAACATTTAAATTCAAATCTTCCTGACTCCAAGTTCAGCACTCTATGCATTATGTCATTTAGTGGCCTAGAAAATAATTCAGGGACAGACCTCAAACTATATTATAAAGCAACAATCATCAAAACTATTTGGTGCTAGTTAAAAAAAAATAGATCAATGGAGCAGATTAGACAAAGTAAGAATCATAACTAATAGACCTTAATAAACCCCAATAATTACCTAGATGTAATAAATTACCTAGAAAAGAGGTCCCTATTTGATAAGAACTGCTAGCAAAACTTGATATCTATCTGGCAGAAGTTAGATTTAGACCAACATCTTATACCATACTACAAAATAAATTCAATATGGAATATTGAGAATCATGTCATAAAAATTACAATAGAAACAGATTATATACTTTTCAGAGCTTTGAGTAAGAGATAAATTCTTAACCAAAAAAAGAATAGAGGCAAAAACAAAAGATAAAATTGAAAAGCTTTTACACAAACAAAATTAATGCAGCTAGGATAAGAATAAAAGCAATGGACTAGGAAAAATATAGAAATATGTGCAAAAATGGTGTGTTATTAATTAACTACATTACCCTAGTCTTTTACTTTATGCCATTATGTTTAGGAGAACCAAGATCTATCCTTCATTAAAGAGAAACTTATAATAATATTCTTTTGTTTTTCTTCCTTCAGCTCCAGCTAGAATTCTGACTTTCAGTGGTACTGTAACTACCCCATGGATGAAAGATATTGTCCTCCCATGTAAGGCTGTTGGGGATCCATCTCCTACAGTGAAATGGATGAAAGATAGGTAACCAGCAACATAATATAAAACTTTTGAGTAAATATGAAAATTGTCTGAGAATAAACTACATGATTTACATAGGCACATAAAAATATGTGTGTTGCCCTTACCTTTATTTTAGAACTTTGACTGTTATCCTTTAGAAAATCCTATTAAACATCACTATGGTAAGGATTGACCTCCTAATAATTCTTCCAGTCTCTCTCTCTCTCCAATTAACTCTTTTTTAATTTTTTATAGGCTGAGGTTATTTTTATTTTTTATTCATCGTGACTTTACCCATATCTGAAGTCCAGAAGAATTAGCATAGAGGCCCAGTGACTGATAAAGCAGAGTTTGTCAGGATTAACCAGCATACAAAAGTAATTTGGCCTCAGACTCATTTGGAATGACTGTGTGTGTGGCAGGGAATGGGTGGAGGGAGAAGATTCTTGGGTATACTTGTTTTTGTGAGATGCATTTCTTGTTGTTCAACTTCAAAAAGCACCAATTAATTCTTTATATGGTTATCAAAATATTCTTTCTTAATGACCACTCCCCTAGTGAAGTACCTTCAGTAGCTCCCTATTGCCTAAATTCTTTGCCTGGCATTAAGATTTTTCACAATATGACACCCTTCCATCCTATCATGCAATTCCTTTTTTACATTACTTATCTTTCTATTCCTGCAATATGCTCCTTCCTCATCTCTTCCTGTTGGAATCTTTCTTTTGCTTCTAAGCCTAGCTCAGGTGCCATCTATTTCATCAAGTCTTATCTGACTTAAGCTAAAAGTGATTTCTTCATCCTCAAATTTCTTAGATCATTTTTGTTTGAATGTCTGTTTTACACTTATTCTATCTTCTATCGAATGTATTTGTATACATATCCTCCTCTACTTACCCCACTCACATTAAATTTCAAGTCTTTTTATCCCTGGTGCCTAACACAGTGCTTAATATATGTTATATATTTTTGTTCTTGTTGTTCAGTCATTTCAGTGATTTCCAACTCTTCACGACCCCATTTGGGGTCTTCTTGGCAAATATACTGGACTGGTTTGCCATTTCACTCTCTAGGTCATTTTTTACAGATGAGGAAACTGAGGCAAACAAGGTTAAATGACTTTCCCAGAGTCACAGAGCTATTAAGTGTCTGAGACCAGATTTGAACTCAGGAAGAAGATTTCCTGACTGTAGGCCCGGCACTCCATCCACTACACCACCTAACTGCCCCATGTTATATATTTAATGAATATTTATTGAATTAAATTCTGCTATAATCTACTACCTAATAGAAATCTTTGTTTGATGTCAGAATATTGCTACTTTTCCATATAGTCAATGAAATAACTGGAAACTGCATAAATATTAATAGTTGCAAAGGGTAAAGTAGGAGAAAGATAGGAGAAATATTTTCTTTGAATTGGAAATCATCTGATCTGTTTCAACCCAACATCCAGTTATCCTTTTAGCTCAAAGGAGAAAGTGTAGATGAAACTCATTCCACTAATTAACACTCTTCCACTGAAGTAGTGAAGAAGGTGAAAAATCCATCGTGGGGTACTACTAGAATAACCGCACAATACCTACAAGAAAAACCTTATACAAATACATATCTTTTAAATGAAGACTACTTTAATTACTGAAAAAAAGCACAGGATTTTTAAAATGATAGTGTAAATGAAATGAAAGATCTGGAGGAAAAGAATTGGAATAAGAATAAACAGCTTAGTACAAGAAGTAAGAGTCTTCCTGAAAATTAAAATGGACCAAACAGAAATTAATGAATCAATAAGATAAAAAAGTAGAACAAAAATTTTAAAACTAGAAAGAAAGGAAAGAAAAGAAAAAGAAAAGAAGACAAAAGAAAGAAGGAAAGAAAGGAAGGAAGAAAGAAAGAGAAAGAAAATGCAAGGTATCTACTATAAAAAAGAACTAACCTGGAAAAAAGTTCAAGGAGCAATAACCTAATTACTGAAACTATGGCCAAAATTGAGGTCTAAATTTTTGGAATACAAAATCAATTCTTAGGAAAAATCATATGTCTTTATATATTTTATCAGCAAAAGAAAGACAAGAACAAATTCATGAATTAGGAATGGAACTTTTTTAAAAGTTTAGAAAAACATAATAAAAATCCATCTAAATGCTAATATTTTATTCTGAAAATCAAAGAAGACATTAACAAAATTAGAAGTGAAAAAGAGCAAAGAATTGCTGAATAAAAATAGAAACTTTTAAACTAAAACAATAAAATAGCTAAGCCTAATAAATAAATATAAATAATAAAATAACTAAGCTAGTCAACTAAAAGTAGAGAGAGAACAAAACCAAATGTTCAGTGTCAAGGAAGAATCACAACAAAGAAATTATAGGGGAAGCAAGGTGGTGCAGTGGATAGAGCACCGGCCCTGGATTCTGGACGACCTGTGTTCAAATCCAGCCTCAGACACATAACACTTACTAGCTCTGTGACCCTGGACAAGTCACTTAACCACATTGCCCAACCAAAAAAAAAAAAAAAGAAATCATAAATAAAGGAAATAATTAAAAACTATTTCCTAATTATATGCCAACAAAACAAACTGTTTAAATTAAATAGATCAATATTTCCCAAAAAAAAGTTAAATAGATTAACTGGAAAATTGTTTAAAGAACTCAATCTCAGAAAAATAAATTGAATAAGCCATATGTTTATCCCAAAGGGGGAAAAAGATGGATTTATAAGAAAATTCTGTGCAATATTCAGGAGAACAATTAATTTCAATACCAACTAAATTTATTGTTTTATTCAATGTCATACCAATAAAACTACAAAAAGATTACATCATATAGCTAGAAAAATTTCAAAATTCATGTGGAAGAATGATAAAGATACTCAAAAGAATTAAAAGTGGGGGGGAAGTGTAACATCAGATAGACCTCAAACTAATCTGAAAAGCAGTAATTAACTATTTGGTACCCGTTGAAAAATAAATTGAGTCAACTAATCAAACAGAGAATATGCACAATTAACAAGCAAACAAACATGAGAGAATTGTATTCAGTAAAATCAAAGACCCAACTACCGAGTAAAGGCTCACTGTTCAACAAAAACTACTGAGCAAATTGGAATGTAGTCTGGCAGAAATTAGATATAATCCAACATCTCAAATCATATGCTAAAATAAACTACAAATACATTGAAAAGTTTTTGTACAAACAAACTCAATGCAGTTAAAATTAGAAGCCAAATAATTTATTGGAGGAGAAAATCCATACGGTAAGTTCCTTTGACATAAGTCTCCTATTCAACATATAACAAACTGATTCATATATGAGTCATTTCCCAATAAATAATTGAAGGACAAAAAAAATTAGTCCTCAGAGGAAGAAATCCTTGCTGCTAACAGTCACATGAAAAAGAATGTTCCCAATCACTAACAATTAAGGAAATCCAAATTAAAGCAAGTCTAAGGTTCCATGTACATGTATGAGATAATCTACAATGACAGAAAAAGGAAAAGCACAGTTGCAGAAGGATCTTTGGGAAAACAGGCACACTAATGCACTGTTGCTAGAACTATGAATTGGTCTAGTCATTCTGGAAATCTGTTTTGGCATTTGAGAATATCTTAGATACTTAAAAAGTTTCTAAAATCTTCATACCCTTTGACTCAGGTAAATGACAAAAATAGAGCTTTTATATTTCACAGCTATATTATATAATACAGATATCTTTACAGATAGATTTTGTAATCCAGAACTTTTAACACAAAATGTGCTTTAAAAGAGAAGAAAACATTAGAGCGAACATAATCTAATTAACATTAATCTTCTTATAATTAAAAGTCAAGGTAAATAACAAAACTCTCTGGGCAAAATTATACATTTTATCACTTGATTATTCTTTTGGCCACTAGGTAATCCACTGGTATGTCTGTGATACATCTCTTTTGACTGTATACAAATCATTAATTCCTTAATATGTGGAAAGATTCAATAATCGTAAAGCAACTCTACAAAGGGCAACCACAGTAAACTGAAGTTAATAATTTATTAGATTCAGTGAATTACGCCTGAACCATTTTGGCTCAAATGACACTTTAATCCAAAGAATTCCATTTTGAGGAAATATGAATTTGCGCTGAATGGTAAAATAATGTGAGTTCCATTTGAGTAGTAAATATCTCAATATATAAAAGAGTAGTGAACTAAATCAAACTAAAGTTGTTTCCCTTAATAGACCAAAATCTTAAAACAAAGCACTTTGTACAAGAAATAAATATTCATTTTTTAATTTGTATTAATGACATCATATATCTGGGTCAATATTGTATATGAAAGAGATAGCATGGAGTCAGGAAAATCTAGGTTCAAATCTTGTCTTTCATACACACCAGCTATGAAACCGTGAGTATATTACTTATTCTCTCATTGCTCTAGACAACTCTCAGCTTCATAAAATAACACAAACATTTCTTTTCTGCATGAGAAGTTTCCACATCAAGGAAATTGTAGTTCCAGACCAAAACAAACAAACAAAAATATGAGATTCTATTGTCTCCAAGTTTCAAGTTAGCTTCAAAAGGAATCTTTGTACTTTTCACATCAGTTTTGACTAATTTTGATTTTAATTTGTTTAATTTGTTCATATTTTTTTCCTGTGAGGTAGTAACGGGATGCCCAGTCTAGTAATGGTTGATGGGCGAAGAAGTATCTTTAGCAATGGCAGCTTCGTCATCCGCACTGTGAAAGCAGAAGATTCTGGGTATTACAGCTGTGTTGCCAATAATAATTGGGGATCAGATGAAATTATTTTAAATTTGCAAGTACAAGGTAAGAAATTGTTAATTTTTTGCATAATTTTTGTTCTGAAAATAGCTTATAGACATAAATGGTTAAGAAATGAAAACAAAAATGGACATTATTGAACATACTACTAAGTGTACTATCTACCTTACACTGGTAAAAAAGTACAAGGTTTCCCAGAAGGAAATAAGGTTTTTAGTGTGGCACTAATGGGAAAAAAATTGTCTCCTAATTTTATTCTTTATAATCTGGATGAAAGAATGATCAAAATAAATTTCAAATCTGTGCATAAACATTATTTCAGTACTATCTGATTTTTCATGAAGACCTGTAGATAGAAGTACATACCTATTTGAAGTAATTTGATTATACTCAAAGCATAAAGCAAACACCAAATTTTAGCAAGGAAATTCTCTAATAAACTGAATAGCCCTTGAGATCACTTTGTGTGAGGACTCGTTGAAGGAATGAAGGATTAAACTTGTTTTATTTTGTCCCAGAGGTAGAAGTAGGAACAACGGGTGGGAGATTTAGCCTGGGAAAGTGGAATGGGCTGCTTCAAGAAAAGGTTGCCAGATTGCTTGTCAAGACTATTATAAAGTCTGCCTAAAAAGCAATATTTATTGACGAAACCAGAAAAGTACTTTATAGTTATAGTTTATAAGTCTTAAGTGATTGACTCCATCTATCTCTGATTTCCACCTACTACTTTATTTTCCATCAGCTTACAGCATTCCCATAGTATTTCAAGTTATGCTTCAATATATTCTCATAACATTTCCTTTAACCCTCTCCATATAATAATATAGCATCTGTTCAAGAGGAAGCATGCAAAACATGTAAGAAAAAGTAGTTTTAATTGGTTGTTACTGTAAGAAGACAGCAAGGTTTTCCCTGCTGGACAATCAGGTTTTTCTACTTACTAAATGCAGAATCAAAGTAATGATTTTGTTGCTTATAAATATGCATAATAAAGAAAGGAACGTGCACTAGGTGGATAGAGAACACTGACTTTGCCTCAACTTTTTATTCAGGATTAAGTTCATTTTCATGCTAAACCAAAAGAATATTGCTTATGTTTAACCCTAAATGACATAGGTTTTGCCTAGATATATAGGTCTCAGAAAGAAAATTTGGTAGGTAGGGAAAAAAAAACAGTTTTCTTTTATCAGTGAGAGGTTCTAGCCAGTATACATCAGAAGATTGGTGCTGAGATGACCAGTGGATACTTCTGAAGAGGTGAAGTCAATAAACTAGTAGCAGCTAACAACATCCCCAGAGAGCCTATGTGTCAGCAACTACCACAAAACCACCAGAACAGCACCTAACTGAGATACAGAGAATTCATCAGCAGTCACTATCAGAACAGTAGAATCCATCAGAGCAAAATTTCCAATAGAGAGGACACACTCCAAGTGAAAGTATTAGTGAGAGTAGAATGACAAAATCAGAAGATATTGGTGGCACTGAGTCCCAGCTTACTGTCAGTTTATAGCATTATGTTGCTGCCACAAAATAACAGTACATAATATCTTGTATGTACAGTATAATCAAAAGGTATTGGTAGATATTCCTAAGCATTTTTAAAGGTGTTTCACACTTGAGATGCCTATAAATTCATATAACAATTTGTCCACCATGATTAGGAATTAATCAGCAAGCATGATGCCATCAAATCTAATAATAACTTTATTTTTTCAGTGAAGCAAAACTTGCTTTAGGACAGAACCCAGAACAACTCACAGTCTAAAATATTTTTGTAAGATTAATGAGTACAGCATAAAGGTCTTGATGTTGGTTATTTTTCCTGTTTCTTCTAGTAACATTTTGTTTCAAATAAGGCAAAAAATAAGCAATTGTGTAATGCAATGACTAGCCCAGAAGGATTCTTACTAAATAATCAATACAAGTGTTGATACTATGCCATGATAGTTGTTGCTGTCAGCTTCCTTTGCCTTTCTTTGTAAATTAGGTAATAATAGCTGTCTTTAAAACCTGGAGATATTAAAGAACTAAACAGAATAAAATTCATGTGAATAGATAAAAGTGGAAAATTGCAAAACTACTATAAGCAAGTTGTTTTTTGAAATAAAAAAATAAGTTCTTTCCCACTCAAGGTGAAAATAAGTGACTCAATTTCAAATTTCACATTTACTTCTCTACTTATTTCTCAGACTTCATTATAACTCAACTCATTATCAGTAAAATGCATAAGGAACATTGCAAAAAACTCAATAGGAATTGAAAGAAAATTAAACAAGAAACCATCTAAGCCCTTTTAGTAGATAGAGCTTTGTTAGTACTCTAAAGAAAGATGATGACTAGAAATCATTATAGGAAATGTCTCAGAATATGAGGTAAAAATAATTTAATATGTGACTCTTTAAATGAATCTGATGAATTGATCCAGAATTTCACAAACCTTTTCTTTATGATTTTAGAATGTCACAATAACGTTTGCCTACTCTTGTGAGTCATTCTGAAATAATACTAAATTCCAAGAAGTTATATGCTTTGATGTGGAAAATGTATTGATTCATCATACTCCAAGCATCTTTCAGTTTCATATGCTTCTGAATATTGATGAATCTTTTATCTTTAGAGATAAGGTGACTTGATAGGTTTATTGGAAGACAAGAGACACGGGATATTTGCAGTTTTTCTGAGAAAACTGAATTTTTACAAAACTCCTCTCTCTCTCTCCACCCCCTTTCTGGGACATCCTCCCTTCTCATCAATCCTTGGGAGCATCTCGTATGATTTTTTTTTAATCTCACAATTAAACCAAGGCGAGAAATGAAAGTGGATATTTTACATCTCTAGTTATTTTAAAAGATAATTTCAATAGACCTGTTATGATATACAAGTAGGTCAAAAGAATGAATAATAAAATTTAATATAAATCTAGTTGGTTTATTTTATTTGATGGATTTGGCACTTTATCTCCCCAATGTTGGAAGATCCTGGACGGAAAGGATTGTTTCATTCTTTGTGTTTGCATAATAAATGCTGGTTGACTGATTGATACAAATTAGACATTTTGACAGAAGCGATTTGCATATTTGCAAGAGAAGATTTGCCATGAACATCTAATTCCTTTCTTTTCTAAATGTTTCCTTTCTAGTTCCACCAGATCAACCTCGACTTACTGTATCTAAAACTACGTCTTCCTCAATCACTCTTTCCTGGATACCTGGAGATAATGGTGGCAGTTCTATCAGAGGTAAGAGGATAAAAGCTGTTAACTGTGGTTGCTTAACTCTAGGCACCTCTTACACACCACACACAAACAATGACAATTGATTGAGAGAAACAAGCTTACTTTCTGATTATTTTGTGTTAATTTATTCCAACTAACCATCAAATAACTACAGTTATCTATATAAGAAGCTATACATCTATATAATTGGTTCCTTAGCTTGGAATAATCTTAATGACGGAAGTAGTCCTGTGCATTTGATTGAAGTGAATGGTTTTTTGTTTTTTTGTTTTTTTGGTTTTTTTTTGCAGGGATGGGAGGGAATGGGGGGAGAGATTCTGGACTTGTGTTTTCATTATAATGGGAGACTTCCAAGGTGGAAATTCTCTCCAAAAATGCAAATAGGTAACTCATTGATAACTTGCAGTATTAAACTTTCCTGGGGCACTGAGAGTTTAGGTAACTTTCTGCTAGTCACATGGCTGTTATGTACCAGATGTCTCCAAATCCAATGGCTGCTTCCTATCCACTACAGAATACTACCCCTCAAATGTTCATTGTCACTTGTGATTAATAACAGGAACCCTATTGTAGAACACACAAAATGTATGACATGGCATTGTGAGTGAATCATTAATGAAATCAAAAGGGAAAAAATCTAATTTCACTAGTCCCTGGGGTTATAAAGCCTAAATCTTTTATTTTTCCATTTGCCAGGTAACTCTAGGTCCCAGTGACATTTTCTAATGACATTTTTCTTTTCAAAAACTATATTTATATTAGTAATTCTGCCTCATCTTTTCCTGAGCTCAAAGATTCAGAAAAGACCATTTGTATTCTTCATAACCAGTTTCAGAGTTTCTTAGTTCTTTTTTAAAAAGCAGAGGGGATGCTGCTAGGTGGCACAGTAGATAGAGCACTAGCCCTGGAGTCAGGAGGACTTGAGTTCAAATCCCAGCCTCAGATACTTGACACTTTCTAGCTGTGTGACCCTGGGCAAGTCACTTAACCCCATTGCCTAGCAAAACAAAACAAAACAAAAAAAAAAAAAAAAAAAAGAAGGGATGAAATGTGGAAGCATACTTTTCCCTACTGGGACAATTTAGAAATACTACACAAATGATACTTGATATAGTTTCAGCAACATGCTAAACAATATTACATTATATTATATTTTAAAATTCAATTTTATTTTCTGTCCCAAATTTTCTCCCTGCCCTTCCCCACCCATTAAGAAGGCAAGAAAACAAGGCCTTTTACAAATATGAATAGTCATGCAAAACTAATTCGTAAATTAGCCATATGAGAGGAAGGAAGGGAGGAAGGAAAGAAAGAAGGAAGGAATGAAAACTTTCAAAGCTAGATACCACTTGAAAAAAATAAAAAGGGAAGGGAAAGGAAGATTATAGTTTTATAATATAGTTTAAGTTCTGGTACTGCTAGTCTCCCTTCCCATTTTTTTCATTGATTCATTTGATATTCTTGATCTTTTGTTCTTCCAGGTGTATTGTTATTTTTTCTAGATCTATAAAGTAATTATTTGGTAGTTTGATTGTATGACACTGAATAATCTAATTGATTTATCTAGTATTGTCATTTTATTATATTATTTTGGCCTGCCATTAGCAATGGACATTTCTCCAGTTATTTAGATCTGTCTTTATTCATGTAAAAAGTATTTAACAATTGTGTTCATGCAGTTACTGTGTGTATTTTGGCAGTTAGACTTTATTTTATACTCTTCATAGTTATTTCAAATGGAATTTCTCTATTTCTTCCTGCTGGACTTTGTTGGTAATATGCAGAAATGCTGATGATTTGTGTGGGTTTAATTTATATCCTGCAACTTTGCTGAAGTTGTTCATGGTTTTAATTAGTTTTTTCAGCTGAGACTCTAGAGTTTTATAAGTTAATCCTCATATCATCTGCTAAAAGTGATAGCTTTGCATGCTCTTTGTCTGTCTTATTCTTTCCACTTCTTTCTACTTCTTGGCTATAGCTATCATTTCCAGTACAATATCCTTACTTCACCCTTGATCTTATTAGAAACGTTTCTAGCTTATCCTCATTACAGAGTTATTCTTAGTTTTAGACAGATACTATTATCATTTTAAAGGAAATTCCATTTATTCCTATGCTTTTGAGAGTTTTTTAAAAAACATTAATGAGTGTTTTGCTTTTTCTTTATTGGTTGAAACAATCATATGACTTTGGTTTTTATTATTAATACAGTACATTGTGTTTATAATTTTCCCACAAATCAGTACCATATTCCTAGTTTAAATCTAGCAGGGTTATAGTATATTTTCTCTGATTTCCTTGCTAATACGTTATTTTAAATTTTTGCATCAATGTTTATTAGAGAAATTGACCTATAGTTTTCTTTCCCTGTTTTGACTTTCTCTGATTTAGGTGTCAAGATCAAATTTATTTCATAGAATGAATTTGGTAGGACCCTTTATTTCCCTATTTTTTCCAAACAATTTATGTAGTGTTGGAATTAATTGTTCTTTAAATGTAATTAGCTTGTAAATCCATATAGTCCTGAGTTGTTTTTTTCTTTGTGATTTTATTTAGGCTTAATTTCTTTTTCTAACATAAAGAGACTTAAGTATTCTATTTCTTGGTTTGTTAACCTTGGCAATTTATATTTTTGAAATATCCATCCATTTAACTTAGATTATCTATTTTATTGGCATATAATTGGGTGAAAATCTCATAATGATTTCTTTTATTCCTTCTCTATTAGTTATAAATTCAATTTTTTTCCTTTTTGATACTGAAAATTTGTTTTTTTCTTTCTTTTGTTAAATAAAATTAGCTAATGGCTTATCTATTTTACCATTTATTCCCCAAACACACACCAGGAAAAAAAAAAACTCCTAGTTTTATTTATTAGTGCAATAATTTTTTAAAAACAGTTGACTTTGTTCAGCTTTCATTAGATTTTTTGGTTTTCTATTTTGATGTTTAATTTTTTTAAAATAATTAGTCAGTTTTTTTCTAAGTTAAATTCATTGAGCTACTTTTTCTCTTTTATTGATTAAAGCATTTAGAAATATACATTTTCCTTAAGTGCTATGCTGACTGCATCCCAGAAATTTTGGTATGTTCTCTCATCATTGTAATGAAGTTATTGGCAATTTTCATAATTTGTCTTTTAACCCAGCAATTCTTTAACATTAACTTACTTAGTTTCCAATAAATTTTAATTCAGCTTCAATAGCCCTTTACTGTACTTTTTACTTCAGCTGAAGCCTAACAGATTCTGCTCCAGTTCCTTATTTAAAATCTGTGTATCTTTCTGTTTCAAGTGTGTTTCTTGTAAATAATATATTGTTGGATTCTGGTTTCTAGTCTACTCCGCTATCCTCCTCTGTTTTATAGGGGAGTTCATCATACTCACATCCACAGTTACAATTACTGTGTATTTCCTCCATCCTATCCTCCTTTTTTCCCTGATTCTTCCTGTTTTTTTTTCTTCTGACTAATGCCTTAATCTACTTTCCCTCTCATTCTCTTAACTATTTTCCCTCCTATTTTCCTGCTGGATATGACTCAACTGAGTATGTATGTGTATTCTTCCCTCCTTTAACCAATCCCAATGTAAATGAGGTTTAAGTGTTGTCTGCTCCCTTCACATATATGTTCTGTAGTTGTTTTAGTCATGTCCAACTCTTTTTGACCCCATTTGGAGTTTTCTCGGCAAAGATACTGGAGTAATTTGCCATTTCCTTCTCCAGCTCATTTTACAGATGAGAAAACAGGCAAACAGGGTTAAGTGACTTGCCCAGGGTCACACAGATAGTAAGTGTCTGAGGACAGATTTGAAGCCAGGTCTTCCTGACTCTAGGGCTGGTGTTCTATCCACTGCACCATCTAGCTGCCCCCCCCTCAACACTGTCCTTTTTTGTTGCATAACTCTTCTTTGCAAACCCCATCTATTTGAGAGATCCCGAGGTATGGGGAGTAATGCCCCAAGCCTCAGGTCCTTCTTACTGTTATTTTCTGAAGTCTGTTCTAGGGCTCAACCTTGGGCTCTCCTCCCCACTCCTAAGCAATGGCTAGAGCCCCCAGTCACTCTGTCCCATAAATGATCTTACCCCCTGTGGTCCCTCCAGTGGCTGTAAATTACAACTGTCCTCTCTTCCCTGGAACTAAAACCAGAGACTCTGCTCTCCTGTGAGTGACCATAGCCAGCAGGGTCCCCATCCTTCTACTACTGCACTCACCAGTTGTGTGCTAGCTCTTTCTCCCTGCAGCCACAGGCCAGGACGCATCTGATCAGCACAGCTGTGCTTGTCATCCCTTGACCGTGGAAGGTCTTTCAGTCTTCTCCTCATCTGTCAGACCTCCACACTGTCCTGGAGATGAAAGTTTCTAAGGCTGAGGTTGCCTCCCAACCCCAGTTGCCCCAAGGGCTTGTTGTTTGTTGATTCCATAGAGTTGTCCTAGAGGTATGTGCATTTCACTCAGGCTGAACCTCTGCTCCTGGAGGTCAGGTCTTTCCTGAGGTCTTCTTTGGTTTTCTTAGGAGAATAACTTTCTTACCCTGACTTTTGTTTATATCCACTGCTCTACATTCTCTCTGAGGCAAAGTTCTGTCTTTTTCTAGGGAAGAAATTTGGACAGCTGAAAGTTTTCCGACCTGCTCCACTATCTTCCAAGAATCCTCCCTGTGCTTATGTTTGTATGTTTGCTCTGTGCTTATGTTTGTTCCTATGTTTGTATCTCAAATTTTCTTCTCAGCTCTGGTCTTTTCATCAGAAATGCTGAGGAAAGTCCTCTGTTTCATTAAAGGTTCATTTTTTCCCTGTAGTTTCTCACTCTGTTTGACTGGTCAGGATATTCTTCATTGTAAGTCTATATCCTTTGCATCTGGAATATCATATTCTAAGATCTTCATGCCTTTACACTGATAGCTACTAAATCTTGTGTGATCCTGACTGTGGCTCCCTAGTGGTTTAATTCTTTCTATCTAGCTGCATATGTATTTTTTCTTTGACTGAGAGCTCTGGATTTTAGCTATAATATTCCTGAGAGTTTTTTTGTTTTTTTGTTTGTTTGTTTTTTTACTTTCTTCTAGGACATGAGTGATAGATTCTTTCATTTTCTATTTTGCTATCTAGTTGTAAGCTTTCTTCGGCAGTTTTGATTTGTGATTTCTTGAAATATGATGTCTAGGCTCTCTTTTTGTTCATGGCTTTCAGGTATGCCAATTATTCTTAACTTATTACTCCTTTATCTAATTCCCAGGTCAATTTTAACTTTGAGATTTTTTTTTCTTCTACTTTTTCAATTTTTTGACTTTGTTTTTTATTTCTTGATGTCTAATGGAGCTATCTACTTCCATTTGGCCAATTCTAATTTTCAAGGAGTTAAGTAAGGCTTTGTACCTCTTTTTCCAAGCTATTATTTCTCTTTTCATATCATTCTTCCCTTGATCTTCCTTCTTTTCCCATGTTTTTCCTCTACTATTCTCAATTTGCTTTTAAAAAACATTTTAGCTCCATTTTCAACTTTGCTTTAACTTTTAACTCTAAAAATTCTCATTGGAACTATGCCCAAACTATGGTTTTTTAGGCTTTTCTTGTAGATTTTGAGTCATTCTCTCCTCCTAGGTTTGCTTTTAGAGTTTCCCTATTGCAGCAATAACTTGTTACAGTGGGATATTTTTTGCCAGTTCAATCTTCTGACTTTGGACTTTATGTTAGTTCTGGGTTTTGCACACTTCTTAGGAAGGGGGATGTCTGGTCTGAGGATCTGTCTTCCTATGTCTGCTGTTGTTGCAGCTCAGGTTAGGGGCCTGCAAGCTTTCAGCGCTCCCAAACTTGTGTGGCTCAGAAGAAGATCTAGTTAATGTCCTCCTCATCTCTATTCCTGACACAGGTTCGGATGTGTTGGCTTGCGCCTCACCAAATGTTTCAGTAGAATATTGCTTGACTCAACCACTTTTAGCCCAGTGGGAAGCTCTCTAGGTTCAGAGTATTTGAACTGCTGAGTCACCTTTGGTCTGGGTTGCTGTGCTCTGATCCTGCCATCAGAGCCAAACACTTACTGTTTGCTTCTTGAGCTTGTTCCTTGTGCAGCACATGGTTAGGGCCAATCCTATAGCTGCTCTCCATCCTGTATCTATGACCCAGAATTGCATAGTGGGCAACAAAGGTGCCAGATAGCAATATTCTTCTACCCAGTGCCAGTTCAGGAGTCGCTTGGGATCCCTTTTTGACTCACTGCTTCCTGACCTGGTGACTATTTCATTCCTCTTTTAGTGCCTGTATGTTCGAATGTTCCATAGCCCACTGGTGTTATTAGCCAAACCCAAACCCCGAGGAGTACAGACCTCACCGTCTCTATTCCTAAGCCACCTTTGGCTGGGAAAATGACTCACTGTGACTTTTCCTTGTATTTTTTCCTTAACAGAATTAGATCTGGTGCATTTTCTAGATCTTGGTCAAGGAGGTGTGCTGGATAAACTAGAGTCTAAAAGTTCCTCTCATTCTTTCATCTTGACTATGCCGACATCAATCAAAATTAATTATAACATTCTTTGAATAGCGGTGCAAGAGAAATTCTGAGAAATGTTCTAAGCATGATCCATTCATTAACACGGTTAACAATTACGAACGCATGGGAGCAATGCCTTCTCAATGACCAAAGACCCCAAGTGAGGGCTGACAGCATCTTTTGCAGTGATTAACAAGATGACAAAGCAAAATTTTGAGCAGCATAAATATATCTTGTTCTGATTGGACAGAAAGTAAAAACATCTCACTTTAACTTGATATTACAAAATTTGTACCTCCCCATCTGAAACACCCTTAACCATAAACAAGACATGTGATTCAAGGAAATTGGGAATTGCCAAAATAGCTTAGATTAAATCTGCTTGATTTTTAGGTTAAGCAAGTTTCTCCCAAATGTGAGAGAGGGGTGAAGTTGTAAGTGTGGAGGTACAAGTCAAAAGGCTAGGGTGGAAATACAAGTCACAAGGGTACAATTGTAACCCAACTGAGGTTATCTGAGTAAACTTGAGAGGGTAAGGAATATTAAGTCTTAACAAAATAGAATTAAAAATCAATTTTCAATTTCACAATAGCAAGGAAATACAAATTCCTTTAAATGATGTCTTTAATTTTAAAATATGTATTTAGTGTAAGCCCCATACCTGATGCAAAAAGGTACTAACTTTTTTTTTCTTCTTTAAGGATATATATTGCAGTACTCAGAAGATAACAGTGAGCAGTGGGGTAGTTTTCCAATTAGCCCTAGTGAACGTTCTTATCGACTAGAAAGTTTGAAGTGTGGCACCTGGTATAAGTTCACACTTACTGCTCAAAATGGAGTGGGACCAGGGCGCATAAGTGAAATCATAGAAGCAAAAACACTAGGAAAAGGTTTGTTTACTCTCTTTTTGTCTTTATTTGCTCTGTTTTATATATAATATGTGCATGTGTGAGTAAATATATTTCGTTATGTTCAACAGTGCTTGCAGTGTAGTGAAGAGAGGAATAATTCTTAAAAGTTATTTCAGTTACTTTTTTAACACCTTCATTAGGATGCAGAAATAAAGTTAGAAAAACATGAACTTTGTGACAGATATTATGATTAAAAAACTATGAAACTCATATTAGTTAGCATCCCCACTTCCCTTTAAATTCCCTGGTCTCCCTCTCCCTTCCCAGATAACAAATGTTTTATGTTTCAGGTACCTATCAGAAAGAAGGTGATCAGGTAAATTATGATTCTTCCAAGTACAACTATAGAAAGAGTAGAACTAGAAAGGTCATTTTACATAATTTTATAGATGAGAAAAAGCATTTGAATTTTATAAGGGGGTTTTAGTCATTGTGAAATGCATGAGGAAGAGATTTTTTGTGAAGAGGTCCTTCACATCATACCGAATTAGGAACCATGTACTACATCACACATTAAGTTTAATCTCAATGAAAAGTAAGATTGAACATTTTGGTCAGGTCAGTTCATTGGGGCAAGTCAGTTGAAACCTGGAAGTAATGATTTTGTTCCTTTTAGAATTATTTTAAATGACATTAAACTCAATTTTTAAAAACTAGTCTCTGATTTGATATTATATTAGAGATATAGTTCTGATGCCAATAACATCTCAATATGCTGCCCTCCCATAGGATGAATATGATGGGTGCCATACTCCTATCATTCAAATTGTATAGCAATTAAATTAAGCTACTTTTTCAAAGAGAAAACTTAAAGGAAAATGCAAGAATATCTCTTCCTCTTCATTTATGCCTTCATTTTCTTTATCTTAAATACTAATGTTAAAATAAATACTGTTTTCTAGAGCCACAATTTTCAAAGGAGCAAGAGCTGTTTGCCAGCATTAACACCACTCGAGTGAGGTTGAACCTCATTGGTTGGAATGATGGTGGTTGTCCAATCACTTCTTTTATTCTGGAGTATAGGCCATTTGGGACGACAATCTGGACAACAGCTCAGCGAACATCACTTTCCAAGTCATACATTTTGTATGATTTACAAGAGGCTACCTGGTATGAGCTGCAAATGAGGGTGTGCAACAGTGCTGGTTGTGCAGAGAAACAGGCCAAATTTGCTACACTGAACTATGATGGCAGTAAGCATCCTATTTTATATCTGTACCTTTATATTTCAGTTTAAGAGTCTAGAACATATATTGATTGTCAGTCTCTAACAAGTGTCATAATTACCATTGGGTTTTGATGTCACTCTTTAAGTCCTTTGCTGATTTCTTCTTGAGCTCACTTTGGCCCTCTATATACTTAAAGGAAAGAGTCTACTATCATGACATAAAGCTTAAAGGCTAAGAGCTGACAAATCTCTTTTGGGTGATAACTTTATTAATGCTGAGAGATTCTTATTAAGGGGTCTTATGTAAACAATTGCTAATGATGATAGCTCACGTCCCCCCAATTCTTTTGCTGTGACATGTGAGCAATAGCTTTCTTTAAAAAAAAAAAAAGAATACTTTCCATTACATTAACATGTATACAAAAAGGATATTCATTGTAGTGGATATATACATATTATAGCCTAGGTAGAAGTAGGATTCTGGTAAAATATAAATTCACTTTATCTGCAGTTTAAAAAGAGAACAAAACAATAATCATATCATTTGGGATCAGTAGAAAATAGATGATCATATTAAAACATAAATGACTTTCCTTTTATCATTTTTACAATAATAGATAATTTGGTGACATTTGAATTAGTGAAATAAATTGTTATCAAGATGTACATAGTTTTAAATACCACATAGCACTGATTATATTTGTTAGAAAACTTTAAAAACATACAACTAACAGAATGTTTTCTATGTTGATTCTTCTAAGATTGTTTTTAACAATATAAGATATAGTAGTTGATATACCAAAGAAAATGTATAATAGTTTTACTGTTGTGTCATTAATAGTGGCCTGTTATTAGGCCTAGTAACTTAGCAGTAGTGTTAGGAACACCACCTCAATGTTTTGCACTGTACCAAATACCAGAATAGTTATTAATTGAGTCAGTGTAATTCATAATGTTTTTCTTCCACTGATTGGATGAATTTGATATCTTTATTACTTTGTGAAAAGTTTAAACAGCCAAACCTTCTATAATACAATAGATTATGTAAAATGATAGTTACTTTCTTCATTATAGATGTTACAATCCCAATATCATGATGTCACAATACCAAATACTCATATCTAAGCACATGTATATAAATATTTTTGTTATTCTAATGTCACCATCCCAAATATTCAAAATATCTAAGTTATGTGGAATGAAAAGCATTCAAAATATAGGAACCTAGTGAAAGATGGCAAAAATCATATCAGAACAAGATTGGATGAATATCATCCTTGTTGTTCTGTCTGCTACTGGAGTTGTACTGAAGATGCTTTCAGTGAGCCTACAGAGAAATATCTTTTATTCAGCTACAAAATCAATTGTTTTATCTGTGGGAGAATAGTAAGAAGAATATTAAGTATGAAAAAGCAACCTTTTCAAAGACAATTTCTATCTGAATACCAAAAAAAGATGAGAAGGTAATTAACAGTAATAACAAAAAGCCTTCAAAAAAGACAATAATCTTACTGATACTCTTCAAATATAAAATATAATACTTTTATTTCTTACTTTCCCCTAAATGTGATTATTTTGAAAATTCAGTCCAATGTCACATGAATGCATTGCACATTGAAGCCACCAATTTTTCTTGACCCTAAGGGTTTAAGAACCTCTTTAACAAAAGAGTCCTACTAGTCCTAATAGAGAATTTCTGATTTCCCCATGCATTATTTAAGTATGCCTCCTTCTGTTCTTAGCTGTGATCCATATCCCTAGAAATACTTCCATAAACATTCTGCCATTGATGTTCTTCTCTGACTAATATGGACTATTGTGCATGCTTTTCATCTTACTTTTTATTGTACTGTTACTACTGCCTCTACCTTTAGGCTCTCCCCTTCCCATAAGAATGTTTTAAAGGCAAAAAGCAAACTTAAAGTTGGTTTTTGTTTTGTAGTTCATTGAATGGTCTTTGTTGTTGTGTTGTTGTTCAGTCATTTCAGTTTTGTCTGGCTCTTCATGACCCCATTAGGGGTTTCCTTGGGAAAGATATTGGGATGGTTTGCCATTTCCTTCTCCACCTCATTTTACAAATGAGGAAACTGAGGCAAACAAGGTTAAGCAACTTGCCCAGAGTCACACAGCTAGTAAGTTTCTGAGACTGGATTCGAACTCAGGTCTTCCTGACTCCAGGCCCAGCGCAATATCCATTGCATCACCTAGATGCCCCCATTGAGTGGTCTTCGTCATGAAAAAAAATTGAAAATTTTCACAGTTATTAAATAGTGTTACTTAGATATTAACTGTTCAAAAATAAATTTCTGGTGAAATCTTACACATTTTGATTTTAAGTGGTCTCTTATTCATAAATTATTCACTCTTATTAATCATACTCTGCTGTCACTGTCTTCTATGATAATCAAAACAGCGTATAGCATTTAAATATGCTTACCTATGACTTGGAGATATCAAATAATCATCTTTTAGAAATATGTGTTAGTTACATATGTGTATATATATGGGGGGGGAGTGGCTTCAGCATCAAGAAGGCATGGGTTCAAATCCTGTCTCTAACACATTCTGGCTATGTGGCCTTAAGCAAGTCATTTAACATCATAGTGTTCTAGGCAGTTCTCTAAGACTTTAAGTTGTAGAAAAGATGTTGACCTGTATTATTAAAGAGAATTTATTGATACGATAGTTCTCTATACCAATGAAATCAGAGGTCTCTCTCACACAAATTATAACTGTTCCATATTATTGATTCTGATCCACAGTGTTCTTCTTAAGGAAATTTTGCTATAAATTTATCTAGTATTGCAGATGTTAACCATAAATACATTCTATGAATTGAAGTTTGTTCTATGAAACATATATTGTTGTTCAGTCATTTTCAGTCATGTGTGACTCTTCCTGACCCCCTTTGGGGTTTTCTTGGCAACGATACTGGAGTGGTTTGCCATTTCCTTCTCTAACTTATTTAACAGTTGAGGAAATTGAGGCAAATGGGGTTAAGTGACTTGCCCAGAGTCACACAGGTAGAAGTATCTGAGACCAGATTTGAACTCAGGAAAAGATGAGTGTTCCTGTCTTCAGTCCCAGCACTCTATCCACTGCACCACATAGAGTATACATTTTAGTAAACTTAGGAGCAGCAAAATTTATGTTTCCATTTCAATTTGAAGTTATATAGAGGAAAAAAGGATTTTGCTGAAATATAATAAATAATGTAGAGTGCCCCTAAAGTCTAAGAGCAGTTTTAAGTTATTAAAACTTCGTATAATAGATGATAGCAAGCAATATTTATCATGTATATTTGACCAATTTTGCACTTCATGGGGGCAAGAATCATTTAAAATTCATAAAATCATATGTCCAGGACTGGGAGGAACTTCAGAGGTCATCTAGTACAACCCTTTTATTTTAGAGATGAGGAAACTGAGACTTAGAAAGGTCATGTGGCTTTTCCAGGTATTTAGAGAAAAAGCATCAGAGAAAAATTTGAACCAAGGTCCCAACTTCAGAGCTAATAACGCCCTGCTTCTTTCATTGATTTATTTCTTCTGCCATGTCCTTAGCTAAAAGTTTTTATGTCTTTTTATGATTTTCCCTTGTTGCATTTACAGTTTTTTTTCCTATCTCTGCAAGCACATATTAACAGAGTTCTTATACATTTTTATGAGATGCCGTTTCAACAAAAAACACTTTCAAGGCAGGGAAAAAAAAAACTCTTTCCCTCAATTGCTTTACTAATATTAAACCAAACATTAAGGACATATTTCTTCTGTAAGAAATTAAGATACAGAGTATTAGCAAAGCATTTTTCATGAAATTGCAAAAATATAGGACTCCATAAAAGCAAAAGGTTTCTTTTATCTCAGCACCCATGGGCAGTAAAATTATTTTCTACAACAAGGGTTGTAATAACTAATTCACAGTTCACATTGCTTACTTGTTTTTCTTTATGATTCTAATCAATCCACATTTTACATTTCAGGTTAATAACAACTAGAAATATGGAAGTGGCTTTGAAATACTATATGATTACTTTTGAAGAGTTAATTGATAGCCCGTAAAAATAAGGCATTAAAAAGGTCAATTTTTTTCTACTTTTGCTGAAATAGAGATTGAATGCTCAAATCATGAAAATTGGTTTCAAGGGCTTTTTTCCCCCTACAGGCAGATATTCATGTCAAAATCCCCCTCCAAACTATCTTCCTACTCACTGTATTGTTCTTTTTTTGACTATGCTATTTTTGGAACAGGCTATCAATTGTACAGTTGGAAACAGTCTAAAAAACTTTGAATTCCAATCAATTCTTTGCCATTCACATATGTACCCTTAGCTTTAAGTAGGATATTGCCCAGTAATATCTTGCTAAGTGAAATCCATTTAACAAAAATGCTGTTGATCTATTACAGAGATTCAAATTTGGTGCACTAAAGGATGAGCTAAAAAGTAAATAGTACTATATTAGGAGGGAGGAATAGGTTTAGTAAATTAATTCATCATGTGCCCAATAACTAATTTTATAAGACATGCCAGGTACCAGTGTTTTTTTTCAATAACTTATTATTCCTAAAGACTAAATCATTTTCTATTCCTAGTAATCTAACTTCATAAACCTATTTTCAGGCACAATTCCTCCACTTATTAAGTCAGTTGTCCAAAATGAGGAGGGGCTGGCAACCAATGAAGGGTTAAAGATGCTAGTGACCATTTCCTGCATTTTGGTTGGAGTCTTGCTATTATTTGTGCTACTGTTGATTGTACGGAGGAGGAGAAGAGAGCAGAGATTGAAGAGGTTGAGAGGTAAGAGAATTCAACCCTTCACTCCCATATATCATCTAGTATATTTCCACTGGCCCTTGATATCAAAATGTAATATGAAATTACAATGAGATAAAAAAATCATTTAAAACTGAATCAGTTATATCTATTCATCCCCACTGCCACCACTTCAACAAATGAAGAAGCATTATTTAAGCACCTACTATGTGTTAGGAACTCTGTGTCTGGGATACAAATACAATACATGAAACAATTCCTGCTTCCAAGGAGCTTACCTTAAGAGGGAGACAACAAGAACATATACAACTATGTACAGAATAAAGAAAATAACCACAAATGTAGGCAAAATTGGGGAAATTAGGAAAGGTGTCTTGAAGATAGTACTTGAATTGTATCTTGAAGGAAGAGAAGTACTCTACAAAGTGGAGGTATGGAAGAAGTGCATTTCCCCATGCGTTATTTAAGTCTGCCTCCTTTTGTTCTTAGCTGTGATCCATATTCCTAGAAATACATCTGTAAAAATTCTGCCATTGATGTTTCTTCTCTGACTAATATGGACTATTGTGCATGCTTTTCATTTTATTTTTTTATTCTACTCTGTTAGTACTGGCTCTACTTTTAGGCTCTCCCCTTCCTATAAGAACGTTTTAAAGGCAACCACTGAAAAGGCATGAAGACAGGAAATGAAGTGTCAAGTATGAAGAATAGAAAGGACAGTTAGGCTGGAACACAGAGTGAGGGAGGGAGAGTCCAAAGAGACTGGAAAGAGCTGAGGCTAAACTATAAAAATCTTTAAAAGCTAAACAGAGGAGCTTATATTTGATTCTAGAGGCAATGAAGAACCACTACTAAAGTTTATTGAGTAGATGTGTGACTTGATCCAATCTAACTTTAAGGAAAATTAAGTTGGCAACAGTGTGTAGGGCGTATCAAAGTGGAGAATGATAATGCAGAGAGAGCAATTAGGAGGATGTAATAATAATCCAGGTGAAAGGTGATGAGAAATTAAACTAATATGGTAGGGGTATGAATAGCGAAAATAAATCAGATTAAAAAGATGTGGTAGAAAGGGAAAGATTTGATGACTGATTAAATAGGTGAGATGAAAGAGAGAGAGACGTTGAGGATAATACCAAGTTATAAACCTGGGAGATTAGAAGAATGTTGCTACTTAAGACAAAAATAGGAAAGTGTGTAATAGGGATGGATTTAAGAGAAAGACAATCAGTTTTGTTTTGAACACCTATCAAATTTTCTCTGAAAATAATTTTTTTATACATTGCTACTGATGAGATTTGAAAGTAATATTTTATTTGTGAAGATATTTTACAGAAATGAGATAAAAATATACTTTCCTAAGTTAAATATTTTAGTTGAAGCTCTACATAATGTTTCCCCTGAAAAAAAAAAATGAGAGGGAATAATACAGATGCCAGGTCCTTCAGAATTGCGAGATTACTTTGCAATTACGTATTGAATTTATTATATATTTTAAAAGTAAAGCAAGTTCTACATAATGGAGCTCTATAGTTGCTTGAACAATACACTCCTCTTCCATCATGTATTCAGAAATGTTCATTTTTTACATAAATTCAAAAGAAAGTAAAACATAAATGAAAATAAAGCAAAACAAAAACCCAATCTTCTTTCTGTACTCAATTTAATTATCTTTACATTAACCAATTACCTTAGCGATACACTTGAATTTACCATAGATAAATCCTTAATGAAGTCTGTACATCCAAAGGAATCTACTACTGGAAGTCCTAGAGGGATACTCTTATATCACAATTTTACCTAGAACATAATCGCATAGACTAGGCTTCAGTCCCAGTCTGTGTAGCCTGCATTCATTTCAAGGAGCTATGTCCAGTAAGTTTTGAAGTATCTACCCAGGAAAGAAATAGTTTGGCAAAATTAAGCAACATTTATAGTGAATCTGACAATATTCAATTCTGTCCATTATATAACCAATGATCTAATAGTACATTGCCTGCAAAGAAGAACGAGGTTCACTTTTTTTAACTTCACTCAGGCCATGCCTAGCCATTTTTAGTACAGGGGACTTTGTTTCAATTTTTGGTCACGTATATATTTTTTCTTATTCAGCTTATATTACTCTGCATCAGCCCATAAAAGTCTTCTTGTGTTAGTTGTTCAATGCAATAGAGTAATATGCCATAATCATTTAGCCATTTCCTGTTGATAGACAACTACTTTATTTCTAATTCTTTGGTAATACAAAAAGTATAACCAAGAACATTGAGCATTTGAGGACTTTTTCATTCTGATTGACTAATTAGAACAAATTGCATGGATAATTTAGTCACTTTTTTTTAGCATAATTCCAAGTTTCTTTCCAGAATGGTTGGACTAATTCATATCTCTACTAACAAAGGTATGCAAACAGAGTGTCTACTAACAGAGTGTGCCTTCATTCCCAAAGCAAGTCCAAATATTGACTGTCTTTATGTCATCTTTCTCAATTTGCTTTATGAAAGAGAGAAGTATAATTAGTAGGAAGACAAAACCCAGTAATTTACTTTATAAAAAATACTCATGTAAAAAGAATGATACAAAAAGAATAAAAATAACATGTTAAAAAAAGTTTATTGTGCATTGGGAGATTCAAAAAAAAGATGTTATTTACAACAATAATTCATGCTAAAAATCATTAAAAAAATCTATTTAAAGATACATTTAAAACCAAAATTAAGTAGTAACTCAAGGATGCCCACTGTCTACTTTTATTTGACATTGCTCTAGAAAGCCTAGCAGGAGCAATGAAACTAGAGAAAGATAGGTACAAATGTTAGCAAAGAAAGACAAATGTCATTCCTATTTTCTGACACCATGGAAAAAAAAGAAGAAACTTAGAAAGCCCTAAAAAATCAGCAAAGAAACTGATTAGACAGTTAATAGTTTAATTAAAGTAGCAGGATATAAATAAATTCAGGAAAAGGCCTATAGAATAAAAACAAAGGAGGAAAGAGTAGAAAGAGAAATATCATTTAAAATAACAACAAAATGTATACTATCTGGCAGTGACCCTGCTAATATTTGCCATATTCAAAACATATAAATACAATTATAAAATGATCTTTAAATTTAAAAAATGACAAATAATTCAAGGGCTATCATTGCTCATGGATTGTAAGTGTGCTACTTCAATTCATTTACAGATTTGGGATTATATGACCCTAATTACCAGGGGAATAATATAAACAAAGTAATATTAATATTTATTAGAGCTAAAGAAAATAATAACATAATTTTTTTAAAAAAACAAAAGGTGTGAAAATTAAAGGGAAACAATGAAAATGTAGGATTAAAGAGGGAATAACACTTCTACAAATCTAATTATATCATAAAACAGTTTTGATCAAAACTATTTTATGCTGGTTAAAAATAGAAAAGTAGATTAGTGGACTGGACTAAATGAACAAGTATCAGAACAATAGACTTCAATGACCTAATAATGCACTTGAAAATATAAGCTATTTGGAAAAGTACTTTTTATTTGTCAAGAACTGGAGAAAAATGGAAAATATTTAAGCAAAGATTAGGTTTAGACCAACACCAAATATTTTATCCTATGTACCAGATCAAGAGAGGAGTTTGAAAAAATAAAATAATTTTGATTATATGAGCCTGAAACACTTGGCATGAATAAAATTAATGCAATAAGGATAAGAAGGGAAACTTCATTAAGAAAAAAAAATCTTGTGTATCAAAAATCTTTGATGAGAGTTTAATGTCGAAGACATAAACAAAACTAATGCAAAATTATAAGTTCAAAAATCATTCTCCAAAGAATAAGTGATCAAAGGATGTGAACAAACAGTTCTCAGAAGAATAAAAACCATTGGCAGTCATATGACTGCTCCAAATCACTATTAATAACAGAAATTTACAGCAACACAGCTCTACAACAAGAGGAACAAAATGACACATGAGGAAATAGTCAATGCTGTAGATGCCTCAGAAAAATGGACATACCAATAATCTGTTGGTGAAGCTATAAATTATTCCATCATTTTAGAAAGCAGCTTGGAAACTATAATAAAAAAATAAAGCAGGAGAAGGACTTCTGTAGAAAGGGGGCCTTGAGGTGAGTATCAAATAAAGCCAAAGAAAATTAGAGGTAGAGGTAAGAAGAGAAAGGATTCTAGACTTGCATTGAGAAATAGTGTAACTATAAAAGGAATAGCAAGTAAGACATGTAATTGAACTTAGAGTCAAGTTTGAGAATAGCAAGAAAATAGAAAAAAGACAGGTTGTGCAGGGCTTTCAATGACAAACAGATGAATTTATATTTGATTCTAAAAGTAATGAAGCTACTTCAATTAGAGTTTTTTGAGTAGGCAGTGATGTATTTAAACCTGAGCTTTAGGAAAATCACTTTGGCACCTGAGTGGAACATGGATTAGTGGTCAAGAGTACCAATAATATAATATTTATGCTCTGTAAATATAAAAATAATCCAGTCATGCATGAGGTAACATGGGCCTACACAAAAGTCATGGATTTGTGAGTGAAGAGAAAGAGACTTATTCAGGACATGTTGTAAAGATAAAACAAAAAAAAAAGTTGGCTAACATAGTGGATATGTGGTGGGTTTTTGAGTGAGAACTTGAAATTAGTACCAAGTTTAGTTTAGTTTAAGTCTGAGTGACTGAGAGGATGGCATGGAAGGAAAATGTTATTATCTTTGGAGGAGAGGGATAATGAGATTTAATTTGTACCGTACTTGTTGAATTTGAGATGCCTACAGAATACATAGCATAAGATGTCAAGAAGAAAGAAAATGATGCAGGACTTGATCTAAGAAGAGAGACTAGGGCTATACATATGGATCTGGGGAACATCTGCATCATGATAATGATTGAATCCATGTAACTGAAGAATTCACCAAGTAGACAGGAGAGTGGGAGAAGAGGGACCAGGATAAAACCTTGGGGTCTCCCCCGGTTGCAGTTAGTGGGCATAACATGGATGAAGATCCTGTAAATACTGAGATACGGTGTTCAGACAGACAGGAGGAGAATCAAAAGAAGACAGTGACATGGAAACCTATATTGCAGAGGGTATCCAAGAAGAGATAATGATCAACAATATCAATGACTGCAGAAAGGTCAAGAAGGATGAGCACTGAGAAAATGCCATTAAATTTGCCACACAAGAGGTCTTTGTTAACTTTGGAGAGAGCAATTTCAGGTGAATAATGAAATTGGAAGCCAACTTGCAGAATATTCAGAAGGGAGTAAGAAGAGAGTAAGTGAAAGTACCTAGTGTAGATGACTTTCTCAAAGTGTTTAGTTAATAAGTGGAGAAGAGTTACATAGACCCTAGGATCACAATTCCAAATATGCTGAAAGAGTAAGTAGAAATAGTACCAAAGAGAACAAAGTGGGAAAAAGTTAGACTGGAGCAAGGATACATAGAGGAGACATAATTGATCATTGAATGATCAATTAAAAGGTATCTAAACCTTTTGAAAACCAAAACAAGGTGACTGAGAAAACTAATGCTCTTTCCCAGCACTACAACACCCTTATGTGTTATCTATACTAATTTCACATACAGTAATTTCACAGTTAACTGAAAGATATGCAGAACATAAAATCTCATTATGCTTATTGTTTGTTGATTATGATAAAAAAAATTTGATTTATTAGACCAAAATTCTTCCTTACATGTTCTTTTTGAACATGGTGTCTCTCATCCATTGATCAAAATCATTCAAGACTGATACAACAGCACCTATTTAGTGATGTGCTGATTATAAGCATCAGGAACAATTTCAAACAGAGATGAATGCTTGACAATGCTATTCATCAGTGTGATGAAGGGGGTCCAGAAAAGAGTCCAGGCTGAAGAAATACTTCTAGTAGATGGTGAGGTCTTCTGGGTGCTCCTTTGTGTGGATGACATTGTGCTTTTTGCATCAAGCCCAAGGACATTACAGAGTCTGCTGGAAAAGATCTGTAATCACTTAGAGAAGTTTGACCTGACCTTCCACACAGATAAGACCAAGTGGAGGAAGAATATCTGTTCTCCAGATTATAGCATGTATTTGGATGGATGGTATATAAAGCTATCAAGTATGACTGGGTCAGAGGGTACAAATAAACAATGAGATGGGGCCACAGGAGGAACAGAATGAGCTTGATTGCCTTCAGAGAATTACAATGCTTCTTTTATGATCACAAATTTCCCATGGAAGTAAAAACCCATGTTTTAGTACCAACATCCCACCAGTGTTGCTACATGGCTGTGAGACTTGGATTACAACAGTGTCCGAAAAAATCAAAAGTATATATCACACTGAGAGCAATGGAGAGGTGATGGGTATGAGCAAGTACCAGTAACTGAGAAACTTTAAAGAAGAATAGAAGTAGAAGTCATAAAAGAATTCTTACTCTTCTTGGTTCATTCTGAGACTGCCCTTTCTTCAGTACCTATGCCGACCCCAGAGCTTGGTATAAAAGTAGTGAGGATCTCCAGGACCTTACCTCACTCTGAGGAACCTATGGAATCAGAATTCTCTTCCATTTTTATCTAACTCTTTCTACTGGCTACCTATTTAGTCTTTTTTTCAATTGTGTTAACCATTACACCTCTGGTATTGTCCAAAATCTTTTCCCATGGCCTCAACACTCCTCCATAGCTGACCTCTTTGCTTTTCCTAGGACCTGGGGGCTAAGTGGAAGAAACCAGATATATAAATAAATAGGTACAAAATAGATACAAAATAAATTTGAGATCGCGTGTCCTTAGAAGCTGGGACTTTGTGTAGAAACTGTGATAAGACAAGTTTTAAAGGAAAGAATATATATACATATATACATACGTATGTGTGTGTGTATGTGTATGTGTGATGAACATGCTGTTTAAGGGGAAGTCTAGGTTTCTTTTCCCTTCTAAGTATAATCAATACTGTGATATCCTGAATACTCAAACAAGAACTAGTAATCATTGTAGTTTACTTTGATTTTATTTTAGGGAGGGAGAAATAATATTCCTTAATATATGTCTGAATATCATAATCTAATGTTAGCTTACTAACACTGTTATGGTCTGATAACAATATATAACTATCAGAAAACTGAATAATGGAGCTGAATTACTCTTTGGTCTATAATACACACTGTTTTGAGGTGTCTTAAAATGTTTATTAAAAAACTGTTTTTCTTTTATGGATGTAAAAGAATTGAATTGCATTTTATTCCTAGGCTTACCAGGTTCATATTTGCAAAAATTGGTCACAAGTAATTGCAATCAAAGTAAATGTCTATCAATTGGCAATAACTAAACAAACTAACATACATGAATGTAATAGAATGTGGTTGTATTGTAAAAGATGACAAATGTGATGGATACAGGGAAGCATGGAACTAATGGACTAATTCAGAGCAGAATGACGAAAACAATATTCACAATGACTACAACTTCCCCACCACCCCAAAAAAAATCAAAAGTGAATATTGTGAAATTATAAAGAACAAGCATGACTCTAGAGAAAAAAACATCACTACCCATCTGTTAGCAGTAGTGAGAGGTCCACAAATATATACTGAGTATATTGTCAGACTTTTTGATATATTTTCATTTAAACTGATTTTCCCTCGTTCTCTCTGTTTCTTTACAATATACTACTTGTTTTGTGTAATAACCCTCTGGGAAAGTGCGGGATGGAGGAGTCATATAGGAGGAAGTTATTGGGGTGTAAAAATATTAATAAAAATGTATTTTAAAGAAGAAAAATGTTTCTGCCTATTGATAAACTTTTCTAAGTTATAATCTGTTCAAAATAAAATTGAATTTTCTATATGGGTCACAAGATTAGTTTATCATTAAAATTTTATTGCATTTTTAGAAGTTTTCCTACTTCTTAAAAATTTTTAATAAAAGATATATGATAGTCAAGTGTAGAGAGACCTAAAGTGATTATAGAACTGTTTTATTATTGACAGTGGTCTGAACAGGGAACAATTCAATTTTGAACTGCCTAATGTGGATTGTGGAAATTGTAGAAATTAGTCAACCCAAAATATATATTCTAAATAGGAAAAAATGTTAATGAGTTGATTGTCTTTTGCTGACATTAACTGTTGTTTGGGTTTTCTTTGTTCCCAGATGCAAAGAGCTTAGCTGAAATGCTTATGAGGTAAGAACAAAACTTGTCATTGACAGGCTTAATTTTAATGATGTTTTCCAAGTTGCTGTGATAATTTGAGTTTTAAATGATGACATTTAAACATATACATGTAAAGTGATCTAGATATTTTTTCATTTATCATATAATTTCCCATACAAGTATACGTACCTGAATTTCCCAGTTGAGTATCCATTATGAGTTTAAAAAACTAAATAAATGCTAAAGGAAAATACTTTTAGTGGACCTTTTCTCCAAAGTCTGCTTGGTTTGTTTGCCCTATTTGGCAGGGTTCAAAATATGGAGCTATTATTTCATCAACCCTCTTCCTGTTTGGATTAGACCAATTTCTTAATTTAATGTAGTGAATACAAACTCTGAGAATCTTTATCCCAACTCCCCCTCTCATAAGCAAGTCTCCAGTCTTGCAGTAAGACTACCTCTTCCTTCAGAGTTCTAAGCTATCCCTGAGAGGTTGGAGTGATTCTCTAATGCCATCACCTCAAGCTCCCACTGGTGCACTTCTCATAATTATCATTGTAGAAGCAATGAAGTCAACCATCCTTGAGTACCTTTTTTAGGGCTCTTATTAAATAATTTAATATCATGTAAAAACAATTTTACTTTGTTTTTTCAAATTTTGAGTTCCAAATTCTCTCCCACCCCCCTTTATTGAGGAGGCAAGCAATTTAACATAGTGTTACACATGTGGTCATGCAAAATATTTTTCCATGTAAGTCACGCTGTGAAAGAAACACACACACACATACAGAGAGAGAGAGATAATAAAAGTAAAGAAAAAGCATCCTTTACCGGCATTCAGGTTCCACCAGTTCTTTCTCTGTAGATGGACAGCACTTTTTATCATAAGTCTTTCAGAAATGTCTTGGATCATTGTATTGCCAAAAATAGCTAAGTTATTCACAGTAGATCATCATACAATATTACTATTACTGTGTACAATGTTCTCCTGGTTCTGCTCATTTCATTTTGCATTAGTTCATGTAGGTCTTTCCAGGTTTTTCTCAGAGCTTCCTACCAATTATTTCTTATAGCACAATAATATTCCCTCACAATTATATACAACAACTTGTTCAGCCATTCCCTAATTGTTGGACATTCCCTCAATTTCCAATTCTTTGCCACTACTAAAAGAGCTCCTATAAATATTTTTGTACACCTATATCCATTTTCTTTTTGTTTTTTTATATCTCTGAGATACAGACCTCGTAGTAGTATTGTTTGGTCAAAGGGTATTCATGGTTTTATAGCCCTTTGGGCATAGTTCCAAATTGCTCTCCAGAATGTTGAATCAGTATGCAACTTCACCAATAATGTTTTAGTGTTTTAATTTTTCCATATCCCCTCTAACACTGGTCGTTTTCCTTTTCTGTTGGAATAGCCAATTTGATAGTTGTGTGGTGGTAATCAAGAGTTGTTTTAATTTGAATTTCTCTAAACAATAGTGATTTAGAATGTTTTTATGTCTATAGATAACTTTGATTACATTGTCTGAAAACTGCGTGTTCATAGCTTTTGAATACTTATCAATTGAGGAATGACTAATTTCTATAAATTCTACTCAGCTTTCTATATATTTGAGAAATAGGTCTTTATCAGAGAAACTTGCTGTAATTTTTTTCACAGTAATGATTAACAACTATGTATTTCCCTCCATCCTATTTTCCTCCTGTTTATCCTATTATCTCTCTCCTTTAACCCTGTCCATTCTCAAAAATGTTTTGCTTCTGACTTTTACCTCTCCCAATATGCCCTCTCTTCTATCACCCCCTTTCTCTTAATCCCTTCCCCTCCTATTTACCTGTATAGTAAGATATATTTCTATACCCAACTGTGATATTCCCTCTTTAAGGCAATCCCAATGACAGTAAGGTTCACATAGTTCCCCATTACCCTTTCCCTATTTTCTCTTCCAATGTAAAATCTCTTTGGGGCCTCTTTTATGTTAGATAATTTACCCCCATTCTACCTCTCCCAGTGCATTCTTCTTTCTCACTCCTTAATTTTATTTTTTAGATAATCATGCCATAATATTCAACTCACACATGTGCTTTCTGTCTATGTATACTCCTTCTAACTGCCCTAATGAGAATGTTTTTAGGAGTTACAAGTATCATTTTACATGTAGGAATGTAAATATTTTAACTTTAATGAATCCCTTATTATTTCTCTTTCTTGATTATTTTTTATGCTTCTCTTGAGTCTTGTATTTGAAAGTCAAATTTTCTATTCAGCTCTGATCTTTTCATGGGGAAAGCTTGAAAGTCCTCTATTTCATTGAATATCCATTTTTCCCCCGAAGAATTATACTGTTTTGCTGAGTAGGTGATTCTTGGTTGTAATCCTAGCTCTTTTGCCCTCCAGAATATCATATCCCAAGTCCTCTGATCATTTAAACTGCTAAATCTTATGTTATCCTGACTGTGGTTCTACAATATTTGAATTATTTCTTTCTGGCTGCTTGCATTATGGTCTCCTTGATGTGGAAGCTCTGGAATTTGGCTATAATATTCCTGAAAGTTTTCATTTTGGGAAGATATCAGGGCAGTTTACCATAACTTCTTAAAAGATGATGTTTAGGATCTTTTCTTATCATGGTTTTCAGGTAGTTCAAAAATTCTTAAATTATCCTTCTGGATCTATTTTCTAGGGCAGTTGTTTTTCCAATGAGATATTTCACATTTTCTTCTATTTTTTATTCTTTTGATTTTGTTTAATTGTGTCTTGATGACTTATAAAATCATTAGCTTTTACTTCCCCAATTCTAATTTTTAAGGAATTATTTTCTTCAGTGAGCTTTTGTACCTCCTTTTCCATTTGGCCAATTCTGCTTTCAAAGTATTCTTTTCTTCATTGCATATTTGTGCCTCCTTTACCATTTGGCCTATATTGTGTGTGTGTGTGTGTGTGTGTGTGTTTTTTAAGGTGTTGTTTTCTTCAGTATTTTTGTGCCTCTTTTACCAAGCTGTTGACTCTTTTTTCATGATTTTCTTACATCACTCTCATTTCTCTTCCCAATTCTCCCTCTACCTTTCTTACTTGATTTTTAAAATCCTTTTAGAGATCTTCCATGGCTGATTTATATTTTTCTTTGAGGATCTGGATGTAGGAGTTTTGACTTTGTTGTCTTCTGAGTTTATGTTTTGATCTTCCCAGTCACCATAGTAACTTTCTATAGTCAGGATCTTTTTCTGCTGTTTGCTCATTTTCCAGCCTATTTCTTGACTTTTGAATCTATGTTAAAGTGGGGCTCTGTTCCTGGAATGGAGAGAGCACCATCCCAAGCTTCAGGTTTTTTTGTGAAGTTGCTTTCAGAGGTAATTCTGGGGAACCGTATGTTTTTCCCAGGTGGTATAATCTAGGGAGAGATGTGTTTACAACTCTCCTGTACAGTGCAACAGCCTATAAGTGACCACAATGCAACAGAATCCTGCCCCTGGTGCCAGCAACAGGACCCTTGTAATCTCCTTCTGATCAGTTATCTGACCCCCTTGCCATCTGTGGTCAGAAAAGTCTGGAAATTGCCACTGCTGTCACTGATTCAGTTGCCCCATCAGGCCTGTTCCTGGTTTGCTGGTGTCTGATCTGTGCTGGCATGGCCTGCACTGGACTGGACTGTACTCCATTTTTACTCTGTTGCAACAAACCTTTCCTGATGACCTTCTAAGTTCTCTTGGGCTGGAAAATTGTTTCACTTCATCCTTTTGTGGGTTCTACAACTCTAGAATTAGTTTTGAGGCATTATTTAAAGGTTTTTGAAGGGGGCTGGGGGAGAGTCCCTGCCTTTTCTCCACCATGTTGGCTCTGTCTCCTTTGAGTAGTTTTTAAAAGGTGTATTTACTAATGGGATATAATTAGAACAATTGAAACAAGACAGAGTCCAGGGGAGAATAACCTCAAACTTAGAGAGCATATATAGCTAAGAGGTACCTAAATCACAGCTTCAAAAACTGACTTGGAGTCATTTTCTTCTCTTTATGGAAGTGCTCAAAAATTGTTCCTTATAGTTTCTTTGTTGGGTTTCTTTGGGTATGTCTATATCTTATCCTATCAGACCCTCCTGTTATATTCTCTGAGGACACCAATTAAAAGATGGGAAGTGCAAAATCACTGACAAGTTCTTCTTCAGACCAGAGAGAGGTGGCAAGGTTATTCATACAATTACATGTTGTGATCTGGAGAATAGATATTCTTCATCCACTTGGTCTTTTCTATGTGGATGATCAGGCCAAAATCCTTTAAAGGATAATAGCTCTCTTCCAGGAGACTCTATAGTGTCTTGGGACTTGATGAAGTAAGTACAATGTCATTCACATGCAGGAGCAACTGCAGGATCTCACCATCTGTAAGGGATCCTTCTTCAACTTGGACTCTTTTCTGGGCCTCCTCCATCACACTCATGAACACCATTGTCAAGTATTCATCTCTCTATTTGAAATCTTTTTCTATGCTTTTTATCAGCACATCACCAGATAGAGTTACTTCTGTTGTTAGATCAATCTTGAATGATTTTGATGGATGGGAGACTTTTGTTTTAAAAGGGTCAACAATGAAGCTTTTTGGTTTATTGAATAAGAAATTTTTCATAATCTTTAAGCAATAAACAGTAATTTTTTATATTCTCTATGTCTTTCATTAAACTGAAAAAATGAAGTTGAGGTCCACTGTTGATTAACACTTGTGAATTAAGGTTCCTGTTCATGCTCTCATGAAGAATACTGTTGTTTAGAGTATAGATGATATTCATGAAAGTTTTATAAAACAAGAATAATGGTATTAGCTAGTAGTTATTCATGCTCTTTCAGTTACCATTTTTTAATATTAACAATGTTTCAAAATCTTATGTATCAATCATCCAATGCCTTCACATCTGTTTCCCTTCCAGTTCAGGTCTCTTCTATGTACATTTGCTCCAATATGGTTGCTTTTCCCATTTTGTATTCATTAATGCCATTTAAAGCATTATGTCCATCCTTCCATAAGAGAACATT